CCAAACTCCATCCATAATCCATAATGGCTTGAAAAATATAGCCGACTTAATACTCTTGGCGCGCGATAAATTCCCGCGCTATTCATCGTAACATTCGGAAATTTATAAATAAATAAGCTTGAATAGGTTTCGAATAATATCGATTGAAATGTTACAATGGAGGAGTCGGAAAAGTGGCCGGCCATTTGCTAACCTTTTCGAGGCTCGAGCTTTTCGACCTCGATGGACCATAACAATGAGAGATAAGGCGGAAGGAAACGGACGACTGGGCTCACCTATTCTGCCGGTCTTGGCGTCGAATGGATGACCGCCGACTTGGGTGTCGAGGTGCGCGGTCCCGTCGGGCAAGAGCCCACGGGGAAGTCGCGTCTCGCTGTCCATGGTTTCTTTAGCAACAGTCGGCTGCGAGGCGGAATAATGTATCCTCGCACCTCATTGTCCGACGTTGGAAATTTAGCTGGTGGTGCACGTGCCACCGGCGCCTCCGGCTTCTGACTTAATATTTCCGAGCCTCCGCTCTCTCTTCCTCTCTCTCTCTCTCTCTCTCTTCCTCTCTCTCTCTCTCTCCTTCCTCCGTCTCCGTCCTCGGTGAATATGGAGTCGAGAGCCAATCCCACGAGGACGAATCGACGGTTACACGCGGCTGCGCTGGTCGAAGGCTCTTCTCCTATTATGTTCCTTTCTTATCTGCAATGGCAATTGGTTGAGCCGCACTTTATTGTCGTTTCAGATGCCACCTAATAGTGTTCTTTATTTATGAGTAGGCGTGGGTGAGAACAATCTATTACGTCGACTCCTTTGGTCGGCTATGGACGATAATGAACGGAAATCATTATTCTTATAATGGGCACGATTTAAAGGAAATCCAAGTATCAATAAGACCATCGTTTTTGTATTTTATTTATAATCCGCTGACAGATGTAATTTTGCATTTGGCATTGCAATGTACAGAATTTAATGTGTGCATACGTGGGTGCGCAATGTTATGAATATACGTATTGTTGGTAAGGATAATGGTTACATGGTTTTATCGACGTAGGACTTTTGGCTCTGTTGGTTTATTGTAAGGTAAGTTTTTGATAATCGGCACCGGAAATGCTTTCTTTGCAATTATAATCACACGAGGACACTGTAAATGGTCTTTTAACAAGTAATAACATATGCTAATTGCCTACCTAATTTCAAAGAATTTTTTCCCCCTTCACCCTTTAGTTTCTCATTCCAATGACATATTTATTATTAATCATTTATCATTGTTAATATATGCCAATTTTTAATTTTACCAATGGATAATAATTTAAGATTTTATTCATATATTAGGCAGTAAAATTAATTATATTTGAACACATGTTTTTATATTTCAATTAACATTATAAACTATTTATGACATTTAAATAAGAAAACAATTTTCAATTATAGTTAATACAATACAAATACATTTGATATTAAAAGTTACACGATTTTATTTATTTATTTATTTATTTATTTATTTATTTTTATTTTTTTTTTTTATTTATTTATTATTTTTTTATTTTTTTCATTATAATTACATGATTGATTAAGCCATTGGTATATAGTAGTTTCTACATTTATCATTAATTTTTGCGTTAAGAAATTACATATTAGAAACAAATTGCTTCTATTAGTAAAAGATTTGAATTTGAGTTATTGAATTTTTAAAATAAAGCAGAAAGTATTGAGCCGAGTTGAAGAAGAAAAAGGAAAAAAAAAAATAAATAGTAAATCTATCAACGAAATGAATTTGTTAATCTACAAAAAAGTACCTTTATTTACTTATTCAATCGATGCATTATTACTTTTATAATGAAATCAACTATTGCTGAAATTAAAGTGGATATATATATATATATCAAATTAAATAAAAATTGTAATAACGTAAATGAAAATCCTGTTAGAAAAAAAAAAAAAAAAAAACAAAAAAACTAATAGAAACGTCAAGATAAATGTGTAATGAGTCTAAATATAACATTGAAAAAACTTTCATTATCATCGTTTATTATTAATAATACTAAAACACAAACGTTGTAGTTTCGAAACATCTATTTAATGGTCATGTGCAATAATATGCACGCATGCATGTGGATGTAGAAACATGTATAAACGTGTGTAAATAAGTTAATAATAGTTTATGATAGACGTAAAATCTTTAAAAAATATAGTTACTTTGAATTCTCGAATAGTACATTATAATCGAATAATTTTTATCAATAACGTCGAAAGTTCGTCAAAATGTCATCACAATTATACTAATATATTTCATTAAATCTAAAGATCTAAAATCTCAGCCATATAATTAGTTGCATTAGCATTATCGAGATAATTCAAATTTGTTTAAATAAAAATAAACGGATCTACTTCTCTTGAAAACAATTAACTCGATAAATTAACGTTGTATGCGCGCTCGCGTATATACGCACGCACACACGCTTATATGCACTTCTTTAATAATTTAAAAAAAAAAAAAAAAAATTGCGTGAACTCAACAAAGATCTTAAAAATCAATTAAGAATTAATCAACATAAGAACTTTCGTATGATTTTTATTTTTCATCCAAATTTATAGGTCCAATGATATCATAATGTTATATTAATAAATTATTTAAATGAACGTAAATGCCGTAAAATTATAAAAAAAAACTTTTATAAAAATATCAAAATGCGCCGAATATCTGGATATACATACATACACACACCCATAATCGCGCGCGCACACGCATATATATATATATATATATATACACACACGCGCGCACACTCACTCACACACACACGCGCGCGCGCACACATATACCCTAGTTCATAATACGAAACTGCATAGTAGTTGAAACATATTTTCTTCGTTAAAACTTTTATATCGTTGTTTTATTAAGAATTTGTATGAAATTGGATCATAAAACTATTTTCTTACCATTTACGAGAATTATTTATGCAAATTGCCATTTTAGTACAAAAGCAAATTCAATTGGTTTTATTGTACTTGGGGGATTTTTTAGAATCATTAGTTGAAAAGACAAGGTCGAAATTGTATTAACTATATTAAAGGAATAATTTATGAATTTACAAAAGAAAATAATACAGCATTTAAGGTTTTTTCACTCGTAGAAGCTAAGTATCGTTGTTAAATGTTTGAAAAACACTTATAAAATCCTTAAAGAAAAACAAAAAAATAAAAAAAAAGAGGCTTGTCCACAATATCGATGAAAAGTACAGTAATATTAACAGTTAAATATTACAAACAAATGCAATATGTTTAACTTTATATAATAGTGTAAATGATTTTTTTTTTTTTTTTTTGTTTATTTTGTTTATTTTTCGAACATGATTTCTCTTTTATCTATGATTCACGTAAATTCTTTTTTCTTATCGTTTGCAATCACGTAAGTTTACCATATCATGCCGTCACAGAAAAAAAAAAAGAAAAAAAAAATACAAAATACAGACAGGCTTTACCATGTCAATAAGGAAATAACAAACTAGTAATCAAAAATTTCAAATCAAACAAAGAAATAGGATTTTTGAGCTACGATAACTTATGGATCCGTACGTCTTTGTCAATGGTGAAACAACCGAATCGTTATCCTCCACTACTTATCCACACAATCACTTCGTTACTTTGTCAATCTTATTTGTCTCTTATAGAATGTATTGTAACATCTCGAAGCGATACTTACATGCATAAAGCCATTCGCACGCGTCGACTCTTGCTAAATAAAGCGACCCTCCAAGTCCCTTATTTTTTTTAAAATTTTTATTTTTTATTTTATTTGTTTTCGTTTTTTTTTTTTCTTCCTTTCTTTCTTTCTATAAACAACTAACCGACCACCCAGTCAAACGAGCAATGCCAATCGCTCATCAAGCACGTCCAAAGCAAATGCCGAACGCAAATAAACACCGCGCACATATGGAATTTGCAATTTAAAATTCATAAAAGGTGCCCCGTTAAAATGCGGCTACGGTCGCGCCATCTACAAACTCACTCACGTGACTGCGGAACAACAAAAATAATAATAATCCACGATAAGATTGCGGCGCGGCTACGCATCGACTGACCCCGCTTCGTAATTACATCGCGGGGGCAAACCTTTCGCTTCGCGGCAGCTCCGATCGATAATCCCGTAAAGTAAGGATCGACCGGGCTGACGCGTCAAAGCCAGGAGCACCGTAAGAGCCTCGCGCACAGCATCGCGGGAGGCAAGGTAATAATCGCGTGGTCGTGAAAGTGGCGGCGCGGATCAAGCGGGAACGGACGAACGGACGAACGAACGAACGAACGAGCGAACGAGCGAACGAGCGAACGGCCGTGGGCCCGACGCGGCCTCGTTCGACAGTTCCCCCCGGCGCGACACTCGCTATTATTATTACCAAGGGGACGCGAGCGGTCGCGAGTGCTGGGCTCGGGCCTCCCTCGCGCGACAACCGCGGAACATAACCTAATAGCGCCTCACGACGGCTCAGCCCGTGCGTACTCTCGCCGCGAGGAGGAGATGCCTAATCGTCGCCGACGAAGCCGTGCGCGACTTCGTGCCCAACGCGTCGGTTTCTAAGCGCGCGCCAGATCGCACTGCGATACCGCGATTACACGCCATAAAGTCGCCAGCGTTGGTGAGCGAGACGAGGCGGGCGAGGAAAGCGCGAGACGCACGCGCACCGTCTTTTTACGTGCGAATCCATGCCAATCGCCAATTGTGTAGCATCTCCGAGTCCTCGGACCGCGCACAGCCGATTTACCCGAAATCGCCCTCGCCCCATCCACCGCATCCCGCAGCTCTTACGCACACGCGTACGCACGCGCGCACTCTCTCTCTCTCTCTCTCTCTCTCTCTCTCTCTCGCCCGCCCATTGTTTGTTATTACTATATTTCGACGGAGGAATGCTTTTTATTATCATCTCGAGGACTTCTAAATATACATGGGCGGACTTGGGCGAATTGGACACCGACGAGGCGTCAACATTTCGGCCATTGTTCGTCGCTATTTACTATTTTGAACAATCCGTTTCGGTTGTCGGCGGTCGTGGCTCATTATTACTTCATTCGAGGCGCCGAGCCAGTTATGCCGAAGAAACAATGGCAAAGCCTCAACGATTCCTTAGTTATCGCCTTTTTAATGCTAAGATTATGTATGTCGTCCCTCGGTCTATTCGAACAGGTATCGCGTGAGAAAATTACCGAATACAGTTGCGTAAAGCTTATACGATGCGACAAAATGGTTTATCAACAAAATTTGATATTAGCGGCTTTATAAGATTGTCCGTTGTGAACAAGTTAACGCAATTTCAATGTGAATCAGCAATAAATGTACGTAGTATCGTTTTATGGCATCTCTGCTGTTATTGAGGAGCGTCGAGTTAAAGAGATAACGGAACGAGAAGCTTATATCATGATTTTTCCTTATTTATCATTATTCGATGCTCGTCGTACAATCGTCGTTTAAAACTCGTTGATACGGCCTATTGGACAATTTGAAAAAGATGAAAATTAGTTGGAGTGAATAGGCAATTAGGAGCAGATGATTATTTGAAAGGTTCAGGCCTGGATGACGACACATCGTGGCTGTCCAGACGAAATATTTTTTTCCGCATTCTGAGAAACGATTTAGGAGTACTCGGGGTGAGGTGCTGGCGAGGGGGTGGGTGGGGGAGGTTGGGACACCGATGACAATTTTCAAAACGGTGTACAATAAGTGTCTGTCTGTCTCGCTTCTTTCTTTGTACTCCGTCTCGTTAGTATTATCTTAAAATTGTTACAAGACATCGAGCAAGTTTTTTTTTTTTAAGTGTTTTGTATAATGTGTTGTTTATTAAAATTTGATGAAATGTTTATGTTTATCCACGCGTATATCGAGTAATAAGATGCCAAACAGTCGAGTGTCCAGTTTGTTTTGTTTTTTCTCTAACCTTAAATAATTATTATTCACTTATAATGCTAATTCTCATTTTCAACTTTGATGAATACACCATGAAAATTGGTAAAATATATGCGTATGCATATAAGAAATACTTTCAAGTCGTGTAAATTTATTTGCAATAGACCAAGCATAAATGAAAAATGCCAGGAGTAATTGTTATTTAAAGAATATGTAAAATTGATGTTAAATATCTACGAGTCCAAATGAAATTTCATGATTTTACTACAATCTGATATGTGGATAAAATTGTAAAATTTAATTATAATAAAAGCAAAGGAAAAAGAAAAAAAGCGTCATTCTAATTAGAAAAATACAATTAAATTTATTATATGTAATTAAGAAAGTTAATTAGTAGCTCTTTGCACAGTATATACGCTTTTTCAAATTACTTGGATTAAAAAAACATTAGTTTACACATAAATTTATACACGCAAGTTTATACATTCTTTGCCAATTAAAATTTTTTTTCTACAAAATTATATTCATTAAAGTCTCTTAATTATTACTAAAGATAAATTATTGATTGAAGATACGTAGTTTATGCCGTCCACTTTAAACATCGTGTATCCAAATGCGTCCCAAGACATTTAACCGAACAATATCTTGCTCCACATGGAATACACGTGTAAGTGCTGGGAAATCCACAGACTGTACAAAAATGTCTTTCTGGATAACAAGATTGTGGAACTTGAGCTGTAGTATAATTAGGCGAAGAACTATTATAATTTAGATCTTCTTCTACAAGTTGAATAAAATTCTTGCGAAATCTTAACTTGAAGTATTCGGCTGATCTAGTTTTTCTCTTACGAGTTGAATTTTTATTATCCTCTTGAAACTTTGGTACTTTCTTACTCATCACTGAAAATATTTTTTATAAAAAAATTCATGTTTATAAATACACGATACACAATATATAAATATACACTAAGTGCCTATTGTCTAAAAAAAAATATTTCTATACAACAATAATGAGTTTAACGAGTAATTAAGAGAAATATTGAAAACTGTTGATTTTATCTATGTGTGTACAATTGATTTTGTATCTCGATTCTTCAATCATTTTTCAAGATTATTCTTAATTATTCAAATATGATTTTTAAATTCCTTTTTGATTAATAATAGAGAATTTAAAATTACCCAAATCAGCATGAGGATCTTCGTGAAAGTTATCTTGTTCTAATGCATCCAAAGCTTTCTTCTGTCTACGCTTTCTTGAATCATCGTCGAGAATACGTTTTTGAATCGAATCCTTAATTCTTCCAGACTCACGTCCAGCCATGTTTTATATATTTCTTTTTTCTTTTCTTTTATTATTAATATGTAATGACTAATTACGTGCGGTAAAGTAATTCCTCTGTAATTATAGTCCTTTTTCTGTCAATGGAAATGATATTTGATCCATTAAATCATCCACTTTTGTTTGTAAGATGTCTAATATATCGGCAGAAATAAACAAATGCTTCTCATCCAAATCTTGAATAATAAACTTTCTTCCCAAGGCAAAGGTATCATCTAAATGTAACAGAAACTGCTTCATAGCTTCATCGCTGAAATATAAAACTCATTTTAATTAATATTAATATCTGGATGAATAGTATAAACATATTTTTTCTAGATTAAAAATGTCAAAAAGAAAAAGAATTACAGCGGATGAAAAGCGAACGCTAATGCTACAATTTTTCCACGAAAAGAAGGACTTTTATACTTTAAAAGAATTAGAAGTTCTCGTTCCAAAAGAATGCGGAATAATTCAACAAGCGGTTAAAGATATTCTTCAAACTTTGGTAGACGATGATTTAGTACACACTGATAAAATTGGTACAATCGTGTACTTTTGGGCTTTCCCAGGGTAAATAAAAAATCTTTCTTTTCTTTTTCAATTCGTATGCTATTTGATACTAACTAACATAAAAATATTTTGTAGAGAAAAAATACTAATATTAGAAAATGAAATAGGACAGACAGGAAATAAAATTCTCACACTGGAAACAAAACTTGAACAATTAAAGTCGGATATACAAAATGAAGAAGTTAGTAAAGCTTTCTTATAATTAAACATTTAATTAATGAACTATCAATGTAAAATTTTGACAAATATCTTTAAAATAGACGAATAAAGAAGACCTGCATAAGACAAAAATATTGCTCGATGAAATTGAAACATTACGTAGAAAAGAGGCAGAATTAAAATTGCAAATTGCAAAGTTTAAGGATGCCGATCCCGAAGTGATTGCGGAGCTTAATGAAAAAGCCCAGGTAACACGTGCGATCATTTTATCAGAGAAAAAAATTATCTTATCAATTGTGAATTTACAGTTTTACAAAAATGGTGCTAATACTTGGACGGATAATATTTACTCTCTAAAAACTTGGTGTAAACAAAAATTTAACATCGATGGAGTTGCACTTAACAAGCAATTTCAAATTCCAGAAGATCTCGATTACATCGATTAATATAGAATATTAAATAATTTGCGCATTGAAATTTTATGTAAGATGAGAAATATCTTTAAACGGCATTCTTAAAGCGCTCACCATTCGACCAGAATTCCTTTCATAACATTCACCATCGCGAAAGTACGGCTTCACATTAATATTCACAATTTGCAGGTTATGTCTCGAACTACGAAATCACATTAGACTCGTGTACAATGCTTTTCAATATAAATAGCTTCGTTTCATTTTGAAAAACTCAACGATTCCGTTGTAATCTCGCTCGTTTTATAATTTATCCATAAGTTATTGTAATCGATAAATTAATTAAAAACTTTATAAGTATGATAAAAGTATTACTAAAATTTAATAAAAGTGAATGTTAATATTTATTGTGTGCAGGGACCACCGAATTTATAATACTATACTGTTTATTATACTATCTTTACATATTAATAATAATAATAATAAAAACACGCACAATTGTGTAGATATATATACAAATTATACGCATACACAAACCATTTTATTTATTTATTTATTTTTTCCTCGAATAAAGTAATTCGAATAAATCGCAGTATTCGGTATATATTTGCTGACAATTATATTGTGACTATAATTTAAAAAGATTTTGCAATTTGTTATATGCGGATAACATTTTCATAAATAAATTGACCCAACGATATGCCTATATGCTTGTATTTTATTTACTATCGACACAGTCGACGAGCTTTACTTCATTTCAATTCAATAAATTTACAAAACAAATATCCCATATTCCATCCACTCTTATATAACACTGCCCAGCAAAAGAGAATTTATAAATGTTATTTTAGCGGCATATTTTCGTGCTCCAGCTCACGTCAGACTTACCGTCACAAATTCAAATTTCAATCAATTTTCCACATGGCGATGTAAGTCCCAATCCTTCACCCTCCCCTTGCAATTCATCAAATTCACATTATCATGAAGGAAAAATTGAAATGTCGTCGTTGTTGGCTTAACATAAATATAGCCAATCTACTCGGCCGATCCAATATTATCGATAAAACCTTCGCTACCCATCGCGTTTATTCGTCCAGCGCCACTACTGCCAATGAAAATCCCTTCTTAACCTCCCCATCCTCCCCCGCCCCTTCGCGCGACCATCGTCCATCGAATGCTAAAATAATGGAAAAGCCCGTAAATTGGAATGGTAGGTAATTGGGCGAGTGCGATCGCTCATTACCCAAATCTCTCGATCATAAGCCCACGAATTTTCGACGTTTCAATTTACGGCCACCCGACGCTCTCAATAACATCGTTCAAAATCTCGAGGTCTGCGATTGCGTCAATCACGAGGTCATCCTTGACATCGCATCGCATCGCATCGCAAGCGCAGCAGCAGCAGCAGCAGCAGCAGCAGCACCAGCACCAGCAGCAGCACCAGCACCAGCACCAGCATATTAACGGCAGCTCCACTCTAACGCGAACGAAGAATATCGATCGAGCACCCGTTTGTTCACAGTCGGACGTCGTACGAGTCAGGTCGAGCAGCTCGACTTACCCCCTGTAAGAGTACCAAAAAGGTAAGTCGAAGTCGTCGTGTCGCGGTTATTTTTCATCCTCGAAGACGAGCTTATTTCCGCTTGCCGAGTACTTGCATTTTTTCTAACCTACGTGAGCGTTTATGAGGCAGGGATGATTAAAGTGATTTGTTTCTTTTTTGTTTTTTTTTTTTTTTTTTTTGCCTTTTTCACACCTCTGCATTAATGTAAGGTCGGGGAGAGTAATGGAAGTAAAGAAAGAGGAAGTTGTTGCTCGGATATTCGAATTGAATGGGATTGTGCCATGCGTCGATTAGGTGTGCTCGGTTAATTTATGTAATGTGGCACGTGTTGGCGCGTGCTCGTCCCGTCGATTTTCTTCCGTTTCCCACACATTTTTTTGCTCCAATGACCAAAGTAATTCGGCCAGTGCGTAGGCGCGATACCGCCTTTGGGCTTCATCATCTTCGTCGAGCACGAGCTCTTCAGGATTTTACATTATGTAACGTCGATTCCCCTTTTGCTCGTGCCTTTGTGATATTCTTCGACCATTCCCCAATGAAGCCCCATAACCTTGGCCGTGTAACTTGAATACTTTGTGAATGTCATTGGAGGATTTTATTTCGTAAATCGATCGACGGCGGCCGAATCCGTCGGCTTTCGATGCTTCTGCTTGGTAATATTCATAGCGTAGTGGCATGATGTCTTGCGCACTTGAATATTTGAACACACGTAAATATTTGAATACGTCAATGACAAAAATTCGGGGAAAAAATGAATTGCAATGTAACTTCTTTGCCTCGTTATCTGGCTAAAACCAACGCGACCAACACTCGTACAAACGAACGGGCGCAGGAAAAAAAAAATGAAAACTCAAGCACGAGTATGTTAAAAACTACACATTGGCCAACTACTAAATTTATCGTATCACTTACCCTTGAGAAACTACAACTATGCCATTTCATTGTGCGCTGTTTGTTCCATTCGATATTTTCTTCTTTTTATCATCTACTTTTTTCTTCAATTTCTCGAATTGATTTTCGCGTTTCCTCAGCTCGTCACTATCTCTATATTTTAGGGAAACGAAAAAATTTGCAAGAACCTTGAACAACATAAAAATATATTTTTAAACACTAGCTTAATCAAGCATGACATTATTATTTAATCATATTCAATCTATATGAATGAGCAAGTAATTTTGTAAGAAAAAAATTTAATATGTTGCTAAGCCGTTAAAATAGCGGGAAACAATTTTTCGTAAAAATTGAAAATGTTGAAAAAGTAATCAGATATTATTGCGTTTGATATCAGTTGGTTTTAAGATTAGATTTCTTTTTGTGTTTTTTATTTTTTGTTTTTTTTTGTTTTTTTTTGTTTTTTTTTTGTTTTGTTTTTGTTTATATTCTTTAATTACGTCACAATACAGAAATGCCACAATTTGACATTGTAATAGAGTTGGCTATTTATTCAAATATTATTACTGATCTATCATAATATAAATTGCATAACATCAATTTACAAATATGTGACTTTAAATTTGATTCAAATTCTTTCATATTACATATGTTACATAAAGGAACGTACTTTTAATGAAATAATTTCAACTTTCTTAATTAATTTACAAGCCAAATTATTCAAGAAATGTCAACTATAGTCCTTTAATCCTTCAAGATTATGTAAAAAATGTTATTGCAATAATATTCTTGTCTGAACTTTATATAAGAATTTGATTGGAAATACAGTTAAGCATTAAATTTTGAAAATTTCATGAAAATTAAACATATATACATTATAAGAAAACTTTGTTAAGCTACATATTTTTAACGTAACATTTTAGGTTTACAGTCATGGGTGCCGGTGGTGACATTGAAAAGGGAAAGAAGGTAAATAGAAATACTTACTCCACAACATTTAATGTAACTAGAAATTATTTAATAATCAGTCAACTAAAGGCAAAGTAGTGTTTGAAATTGTCGAATATGCGAGGTGTAATAATTAAAATGAAATTTTGTAGCTTTAACGCAAACATCTTATGTAGTTGTAATAAAGAATTGTGTAATGCTCGCGATAAACTGAATCCATTGGTGTTGAAATGGTAATAAATCTTTCTTGTATTTAAGCATTGTAAGTTCAGAATTAAAAATTAGAAAAACTAAAATGAAGAGCTAAAAATTAAAGATGAAAAAAATCAGCATTTAATTTTTCAAACAATCATTTAATGCTTAAGAGTAAAAACAATTAACTGCTGCATAAAATGCAATGTTTTTAGAATGATAACGATAACTGAAGATATCGGACTACCAACATTCCAATATATATTTTATACTAAATCAATGTAATTTATTAAAATTAAAAGTACAGTAGTGCACACATATATTTATATTTTGCAATACATTAAGCAATTGATTACATAATACAGTTTACAAAATTGATTTAAAAATAAACCGTTTGGTTCAAGAATTTAGTACAATTTTCTCTCACAATGTCATAGATAATTTGTGCTAACCAAACAATTGTTTCTCTCTCTCTCTCTCTCTCTCTCCCTTAGCTCTTTGTTCAAAAGTGTTCGCAGTGCCATACCGTTAAGGCCGGTGCTAAGCATAAAGTTGGTCCCAACCTTAACGGTTTATTTGGCAGAAAAAGTGGTCAAGCTGTGGGGTATTCGTACACAGCAGCCAACATAGCTAAAGGTAAGTAAATTAGATACGTTACGATTAGACATTACGATAATAACAATTATTGGTGTACAAACATTTTTCTTCATCAACAGGAGTTACCTGGAATAAAGATACTCTGTTTGAGTATCTGGAAAATCCAAAGAAATATATCCCAGGGACAAAAATGGTCTTCGCTGGTCTGAAGAAGCCACAAGAGCGAGAAGATATTATTGCTTATTTGGAATCGGCTTGCAAATAAATTTAACAGAATATATTCTATTTCTCAAGGAGGCTAAACCGGAGAAATAGGAATATTAGTACAATTACCACACATCTTGTTTCAGCTGTTAATAAATCAAGGATTTTATCAAACTTTCCTTATGAAACTTGCATTGTTTCAGAATGAAACATCGAGTGAAAAATGTTAATATTATTAATAAGTAGTCCAAATAATTGTGAAAAATGTACATTGACATGGTGCTGATAATCTAACAGCTATGTATTAATTATTTTGTTCGGAATCATTGTCGTGTTCATGATTCAATTTTTATTAGAGGCAAAACCATTACACCTATTATATTTATTTATTGTCTTACCAGTGACTTCAGTCATGTTGATTGATCAATTTTATGTGTGTTTTGCGAAAATATCAATTTGATAAATGAATTATGAATAAAACATCTATTACCTATTCCTTTATTTTCTCTCTTCTTCTTTTTTCTTTTATTAAGAACTTTTAAACAATTTGATATTTATTGTTTACTAAATTATAAGCATTCGAATCCATTTCAATACCCTTTTTTGTACAAAGATTATGTAAATTTTGAATATTTTTTCTTTGTTTTACTCCAATAAAAACAGTATTCAATTTGAATGAAACGTTAAGCTCATTTTATTGATTCTCAAATTGCCAGTGATATCGTAGAAATCTATATTTGTAATTTTAAATTTATACTGTAGATGGCTGACACGTGCACATTGTTAAGAAATAATTATCGTTATAAACATTAATTTACTGCAGCTCAAAAGTAAATATTTTTCGCATTTGTATTATTTGTTATTTTACTAACGTTTATCTACGAATGCATATATATATGTATATGTGTATGTGTATTATTTTTTTTTTTTAGAAATGCGTCATTGGAGAATATATAACCTGGAAAATAGAATTATAATCTAAGTAAACGATACACAAAGCTCTAATAACAATCTTATAATACGTTAACATTAATAAATAATTGCAAAATATACATTTAAAGTTGGTGTATTATTTAAGTTTAAATAATAACAAAAATGGATGAGAAGAATGGCGATACAAAGAAAAAAGTTTGGACAGATGCCGAACGATTAGAACTTGCTGAAAAACTTGACAAGGACTTAGAAGATTATATTAATAGTCTTGAAAAAAGGACCGATTCTAACGAATGTCCGGAGGATTGCTGGAGTGAAGAAATTGATAAACATCCGTTTTTTATGACCCAGATGCCAGAAAATCCTACAGAAATGTCTCCACTTGTCGAAGGATTACAGCAATTGAAGTACAGCGAAGATTACAACACTCCTAGTGAATTAGCACTAAGTTATAAAGAGGATGGTAATTTTAATTTTAAATACAAAAAATATCATTTAGCAATTCTTAATTTTTCTAAAGGTATTTCAACTAAATGCGACGATAGCGAGCTGCTCGCTCAATTGTATAACAATAGAGCATTAGCGCAATTGAAATTGAAAAATTATAGGTCCGGTCTTAGGGATTGTAAACGATCGCTCGAGTTAAAACCGAGCTATTTAAAATCTTTGCATACAGCAGCCAAATGTTCTTTTTATGTTAAGGAATATGATCAGTGTATTAATTATTGTGATCAAATACTAAATATCGCAACTAATGATAAAGAGATAAATACTGACATTGACAAGTTAAGAGGTAATTCGATAAAAAATAAGAAATTAATGATGAGAGATTCTTGGCAACAAACACTAAAAGAAAAGAAAATTGACCAGCTAAAGATTAATATCATTAAAGCCATAAAGTCTAGGAATATAAGAGTGGATGATTCTGATTTATTTGACAATCAATGGCATGTTCATTTTGACGATACGAATATGCTAATTTGGCCAGTGATATTTGCTTATCCCGAAAATGGTCAAACTGATTTTGTTCAAAACTTTAACGAGTCAATAATATTTCGTGAACAATTAATGGAACTTTTTGAAGAGCCACCTGCTTGGGATAACAATAAGCGCTATCAAATTAACAATTTGAGTATTTATTTTGAAGATTGTAATAAAGCAGTACATAAAGTTCAGACGGATCAGTCCTTAAAAGAAATTTTACAACACAAATCATTAGTTGTTAAAAATGGTACTCCATGGTTTTTTATATTGGTAGCTGGTAGTATAGAAGAAAACTTTTTTTTAAAAAGTTACGAACAATAAAATATGATTTAATTTAAAAAAAAAAAAAAAAAAAAAAGGATCAATACTTTAAAATTCCATTATTTTAAAATCCTTATTATATAGTTGTAAAATTTGTATAAAGCATCTAAGATTTAATATAAGAAAAATGAATGACACTTATGATTAATAAAAGCATAGCGTAATTGTACGCATCTGCAGTTGCTTATCAAATATTAGAAATTTTGTATGAACAGAATAAAACTTAATTTATTCGAGTCAAATTTGTTTACATTAACATTATTCCTAACATTACCATAATCGCTCGTTAACTAATAGATACAAATGAAATGTAGTTGGAAAATAAAAAACAAACAACTACTATATTAATTACTAAATAAATTATTGATTGTAAATTCAATAATTATGAGGTTTAGCGACAATAAATAACAATAAGTATATTTTTGTACTTTTACCGTTTACTTTTTATGTGTTTATCTATGTATTTATACAATAATGTTTCCTATCGAGTATCAATTCTATTATAAATTTCAGCTTTTACGACTTTTCCGTATATACAGATAAACATGTTAGCTGAACAAACATGTTAGTGACAATATTCCTACAAGTTTATATAAGACAATGGACTTTAGAAATGACCTTGAATCATTGAATGACATAATTATCAACTTCTCCATGTAATTATAAATCTCTTTGTTAAATAATGAAAAACATTTTAGTATAAAGCTAATGCAACGGTCATTTGCATTTATGTGTGTTAAGCATCAGTTGCAAAACATAATCAATGATCACTGTGATATGTTTTCATTAATTCCAATAGAATGACAGATTCGCAGGAAATATTATAAGTGCTTTAGGCTTTGAATTATTTAAGTAAACCATTTATAATTATTACCGAATACAGGCGGCGCAGAGCTAGAACAATAAGCATTGTCCACGCAAAAATTAACAAAATTTTAAAACTTTTACCGATATAATTATCGATACATAAAGTGAAAAAAGTGCACGGTAAATAAGCCATTTTTCTGATGTGACGGAAATAAAATTTTCCCACGTTATGAATTTTGATACTTTCGGAGGCGCATTCCTATACAATATTCATCCATTGAATATTATTAATTTATTCAACTATAATTTACAATACCTATCGTAATAGTTCAATCTATTCATTCATAATATATCGCAATACTTCAACGAAGAAATTAAAATAATGCCCTACTTATTTTATTTAATATATGGTTTTTTTTTTTTTTTTTTTTAAACATTTAATAATTTAAAAAATTATTATAGAATTAGAAGATTAAGCAGTAGGAATAATCGTTTCTGAAAATAAAAAGCCAACGAGAGCTTACATCGCTTTCGCAGAATACAAGTAAATAAATTACGTAAACATGTATGTGATGACTGCGTGTGACGGTAAGGCGACACTAGAAAATATTTTTGGACTTTTGTCTATAGGATTACGTAGTACCGTTTGCACCCGGAGACGCAATCCTCGACGGTCTTACTGTCTAACTACCCGATGCCAAGGGCCCAATCTCCCTCCTCTCCCCCTCTTTCACGCAACAGGCAGCAGCATCAGTACTGTTATAACAACAAGGGTAAAGCTTGCTTATTAATAAAATAATTAAAAACTCGATATGCGCTCAATATGATTCCGATTATTAATATTATGTACAATAAAATTCGTACTTGTCATGTTACAGCGTATAACGAACGCCGGACTACATTAATCAATGATGCTTGAGAGTGTTAATTAAAAAGAAAATTTACACAATATTTATGCGAATGAAAAATAGTTTTTAAAATCCATTCGATTTTTTATAATTTAATAACATATTTTTTTTATGGTTATTGTTCAATGATTGACGTATAAAAACAGCTTAATTTAAAAATCGCAAATTTTAATTTTTGGACAATGGTAATAGTGTTTGTTTTAATGATTACGAAGGTTTTTACTTGCGTTAAGATATTTAATACAATATGACAGTGACATTTTCACCAAAGCAAAATCCTATAGTCAAGCGAATACATAAAACTTCAATGGAAAGAAAAAATTATTACACAAAGACAAAGACTTGGTGTAACTTTTAGTTATTGAAGTAAAACGAACGTTTGGCTTGGAATCTTTTTAACATCGTGTCATTGCTATCAGTGCTCGATGAAAAGGATGGATTGAATGTCAAATATAGTATCCACCGATTAGATGATTTGTTATTGTGATATATTTATTATTACGATATATATATATATATATGAAATGATACTCAAATGATTGAGAAACGGAGAACTCTGGTTTCTTTGCTGTTGTAAAAAAATTGTTTCTCAATAAGACGCTGCACTTTTGCATGGTTAAAGGGTGTGAGTGAGTGAGAGAGAGAGCGAACGAGCGAATGACGTGGTTAAAGTGTCTGGATGAATCCTTGCAGTTTCAGCGAGAGACTTCGGAGGTTACTACATCAAGGTAAGCTTGCACTGGCGACAAAGTGTTCTTTATAACCCAAACGTCCCTTTTATATCTTTGTATGACGCTGTAAGGCTTCCGGCACTCTTTACTGGAAAGCCAAGCCACTTCAATCTCTTTTTTGCCTTCAATCTCTTTATCTCTCTCTCTCTCTCTCTCTCTCTCGTCTCCCCTCTCGCTGATACAACGCAAAAGTATAGAGCACGAGTCGGTATTTACAGGGCGCGTAAACGAGATAGTAGTCATGTGCGTAATCAAATGTAGTTGAGCGTGATTAGGAGGGGGGGGGGGACGTTTTAAGAGGAATTTCGAATAACATACAAACGCCTGATACAAAAAAGGCTCTCTCCAAGAATTAACATCGGTCGATGTCCTTTGTGATCTGATAGGCTGATACTCGTTGAAAATAAAATCCACGTCTTTTATAACACCTAGGAGTTTCTACGAACTTACAAGACTCGTCTCTTACAAAGCCATTAAAGTAGAGGAGCTTTTAGCGATGAGTAGAACTATCGCTGAGACTTGGCTGGCCAACCTCGTCTTGAAAACAATGGAGTGTGTGTGCGTGTGTGGGTGCAATAGAGTTAAAGCCAAGAAGGGCGCTGTAGCTCTCTGAATTATAAATTTCATGCGTCTACGCAACGCCGAAAACGAGAATACGATGTAAAAAGTAGGGGAAGTAGGGTTACCACACAAGTGTGGCTGTTATTTGGGAACCTCTGTCGAACTTTGTGAAAAAGGTCGAGGGCTGCAAGTCTAACCATAATAAAAGAAATAATTATAGAAATTCGACAATATTACGTGACGTCGAACTTTGGCATAAAAATAAATATCCTCCGCCCGAGTTGTTAATTGGCAATCTAAGCGATTTTATATGCTATTTTCCAACGAATTGACTACGTACGATTCGTGATGGTGTTGATAAAAATTTAATTATACTTAATTTATCACGGGAAAGATACCGAAAATCGATTACGTGATATTGGTAAAATATTCTTAAAATTGTACCGAGTAGCGCCAGAGGTCTTTGAGCCTATAAGGTACGACGAGTTGATATTTGGTTTCGCGATAATACATTGAAGGGGTACTGATTGCGACCTCGAGGTAAAAGATGCAAAGTGTGCGTGCAAGGGGTTCGACAGTCTTCAATTTTTAAAGCACATTGATATTAATATACACGAAGAAAATGATTAACAACCGAAAGTTTGGTCGATGTGGAAGATGGGGGCATTAAAAGGACAAGGGATTATATCGAGCAAACGAATAGGAAGACTGATGAATTGTAAAATAAGTTTATAATTGAAATTGTGACAACTAGGAAACGTAGCCTTCAACAAACAAGCATATATGCAAAGAAGGCATAATGTTCGAAAAAAGTGGGACAAATTGTATTGCTGCCAGTTTGTTTATTGTGACAACTAATGGATTGTTTTAAGGCATAAGGCAACCTAAAAACTAAATATTGAATTGTCCGCGTGAGTATGAATGTTGGAGTAACAGATAGATAGATAGTACGATAGAAAGAGACGGAGAGAGAGAGAGAGAGAGAGAGAGAGAGAGAAGTGAAAGAAAGAGACGGAGCGACGATGCGAAGGAGTGAAAGAGTTTGTGGATGTATGAAAGAAAAATCCGGTAGCCTCGGAAGAAGAGGGACCAATGTAATGCTTTCCAAGTTAGGGATCGGGTTTTCTTTAAAAATTTTTATAGAAAATCAAATAAAAGCAAATATTATAAGCCATGGAATTATCGAAATCATAAAATTCACTGAAAATAAGAAAACATTGATTCCGTTCATTTCTTAAAGAAAGCCTATATTACTATAGATCAATGTATCTTTTTTTTTTTATTTTTTTTGTATCTATATAATTACTTCGCTTTACATTTATAAATGTATATATTTATCTTTATATATATATGGCCACCTTTAGTATTCATAATACAGTAAAAATAGTTAAAAAAAAAAAAAAAAAAGAAAAAAAAACAATCGAATAAAGCTAACTTTTCTAGGTTATTTTATAAAAATATGATTTATTAAAAAATTAAAGACTTAATTGATTTACATCTTCTTTTATTAAAATTAAATATATTAATATGGATTGAAAGGATGAAAGCAAGAAATCGCATGATATTCTAATAATTATTTAATATAAATATAAAATAATACAACTAATAATCTAAAAATTATATAATAATATAATAATTTAATGACCTAAATGGAATATAAAGTCATTTTATATATCATGTTCTAATTATTTTTAATTGATTTCGTCCTATATAATCTCAATGTAAAATACAATAACAATAACAAATGTGTATTCTTTGTTATTTTACGAATTTATTTTCGATATTTGTATATTAGTATATTAGCAAAATTAGATATTTTTGATATATATTTTACATTTAACAATGCAAGCAATCATTTATTTATTAATAAAGTATATATCTCTTAATAATACTTATAAATATTAGATATAACATATCTAAACAATTAACAGATATATTTTTTAATATCTTCGATTGATCTTAAATATAATTAAAAGACACATTTTTAAAGCATTTCACGTTTAAAAGAAATGTAC